CATTTTGCAAGTGTTTTTCATATATAAATCCACTTCTCACCTTCATTTAGATTTGAGTTAAGTATGCCTTATATAATGGCTGAAATTTGCCTTCCAATTTCTCAGAAATGTTCTTCCTCTCAACAAAGGTTTTCTGTTTTTCTGCTCTTCTCTAAGGGCTTGAATTTTCTTTTGAATTTCTCTTGGCATTATCTTTCAGCATACTTCATTGTTGAAGGTCTGAGGGCCTATTTAATTGTATTAATTTGTTAGTTTTCCTCCAAAAGTTCAAGCTAACATCAGAGACATATCCATCTAGCCACAGATGCCAAAATAATGAAATATGCATCATGTCATCATACACAAGCTCCATTTTTTCATATTTGCATTGTGATGTTCTACACAAGAATTCATGAGACGGAATTTGCAATACAATGGCACAATGCATGTTTTGTCACTTACCACTTCTATAAATGGCCATAGCCAGAAGTGTCAGGGGGGAGATTAAGGGCAGGCAATGAAAATAGTGTAGGGATGCAATCTTCACCCCTTTTAAATGTATCTTGTTTCATTTCACACAGAGATATGAAAGGGACAGAACTTGTGTTGCAATAACATGACATTGCTTTTATCATTTTGATGAAATCTTTGGATCCTGTTGACACTCTGGATTCAGCAAGCTGCAGTAAACTAAAGCCAAGGTTTCTTACATATGGATGCCTTTTCAAATAAATAGTTCTACAAGATTTCTCACTTCCCAAGATGCATATCAATTGTTCTGAGAGGGATCACTAATATTTGACTGGTCTTTATTTCCTCCTTTCCTCCTTCTCTGTGTGTGTGTGTGTGTTTTCCAGCTGTACTTGAAGGGGAAATATTCTCCAAGCCACCTGAAAAACTCCTTCGATTTTGACACATCACATTTGTTCATGCTACAAATTAATAATCTTCAGACACAATAAGGTTTTTCATGAAACAGCACTTGCAGTTCTGCCAATACCTTGCCACAGTAAGATAATGTGGGAAATTATTAACACATTTTTTTTTTTTTTGCCTTAGGCACTTTGAGAAGAGAGCTAGGTGGACTTTCAAGCCTATTACTAATGTCAAAGGAAACCAACTATCAATATATTCACTTATGTCTCAATTAAAAGGAAGTAGGTGAAGGAACTATCTATAGAATTTATATTCCAGTACAACACATTTCAACTAAGATCATAGGTCACACTGCTCAGAAAATAATCCGGTTTACTCAGATGGTTTTTAGAATCTTCTGTTTATTGCCTGTACTTTCTTCACATATTTGATTGTAGAGTATATATTTCTTCTTTGGTTTTGAAATTTTATTGAAGAATGAGGTTGGAAGAACACAGTAGCCATATCTCACATTATTCCTTAAATTGTTATTTAGTCTAATCCAAATTCATTTCAAACTAACATGGTTTTAAAAATTCAGTGTCAATCTAGTAAAAGCAGGAGGGAAATATCTGCATTTTGTTCCAGGAAAGGTAGGAGGGGATGGCTGTGTGAATTCATTTAGAAGATGTTCACATTCAATAAAAAAATATATCTTTGATGGCTCCATTTGCAAATATAATAAATATGGTGGCAGATTCTGTCATATGACATTGGTTCCAAAATATAACTTTGCTGGCTCTATTCACAAATATAATCAACGTGGTGGCAGATTCTTCACATTATGATTTCAGCTGTGTTTTATTTAATTTTAATCAAGAGCTATTAAACCTTCTGTTTTAAGTTTTTAAACCTACCCTTATAAAGACTAATCCTATGAGTGTTAATGAATTCTACTCAGGAACTTTTAGAAATTATTAACTTCCACCTTCACACATCAGTTAGATGACAAGTGGAATCAGGATTAAAAAGATGTCCCTCTATTTCAGTCTGTATCCATTTTCAAATATGACTCTACTACGTGTTCTTAAAGTTGGCGACATTATTGTGTTCTTGCTTTTATACATCTGCTATCTTTTCTTCCAAGCCTACTAACATTACTGTCTAAGAGATATGGCTAGAAGATGCCTGGTTAAATCGGAACTCAGACTTTCAGAATTAAGTTTGGTAGTAGTTCATAGGATATCTGGATTCTTAACTGAGTCAGTATCATGATTAGAAGACCAACTGTTAGAGGACCTATGTACCTCTTTATAAAAGTCTCCTGGTTTTATGGATATCTATTTAGAAGTAAATAGATCCTAGGGATGGAGCTTCACGCTCCAATTCATATTAGAGTGGGTTTGCTGGAGTGAATGGCTATCCAAGGCTGTTTGGATTGCTCCAGGATGGGGGTGAGAAAAAGATAGCCATACCAAATTGAAATAAAAATAGTGTCTGTTTATAACTCACAGGTGGATATGCATGACCAATATTTCCTCCATTGTCCATCTAGAATAACTGATCTTAGAAGCAGCACACAGATTCTTACTTCTACATTTATCTTTACTTATTATTACAGTTACACTGTCTTATAGAGTTGCATGGTCTATTTGCTTTGCTTTTTGTAATATCTGTTTCCAAAAAGCAACAAAGTGTGCAGTTTTACAGGTGGCTTGATGTCAAACTCATGACTGCATCTTTAAAAAACATGCTGTTTTGACTTTTGTTTTTATTTTTTCTGGGAGAAAAAAGGAAAATCGTTGTTTATTCTGAAACAGATCTAGAATAGACCTCAACCCTACTTCACTCAGGCATTCCTTCTTCCTCCAATGTTATAGTATATGAGAGTAATATGTTTGCTTTTGAGTAAAGAGAACTGGCCTTTTTTTTTTTGGTCTTCACACAGCCCTTTTGCCATTATCCAGTGCACTGCTTTCCTAGTTAAAAATCAAAGTCATATTTTACATTATTAATTGTTTTCCAGTAGGTCTTACCTCACTGATTTTTTTTAGAGCATTTTAAATTGGGTTGGCTAAAAATATGATGGAGAAGCTCAGTTATTTGAGTTTCTCCTCACATAGCATTCTTCCTTTAGGCTTCGACAGCACTAAAAGATTTATCAGACAATATATCCACGATCATGATTGCCAAGCCAATCTCAGTTTAGCTCCCAGACACTTGAATCATGGGGATTTTAAAAACAGCTCTCCGCCAGCTTCCTATATTGTCCACATAACTGTTTTGAAATGTTGCCAGACCTTCACTTTGGCAAAGTTTGTTGTTCTGCCCTCTGCAGTGCCATTTGGTGGGTCTCATAACAAAACTGTTTAAGCACATTTGCCTCTGCAGTTCTGCCTCTGAGGAAACTCTAAGTCATATAATGTAATAGTGATTTTTAGGGATTTGCAGGCCCTGTTCATTTGTCTCATTCTTCAGGGAATTCCAGGCAGGTGCCTGATTATTGCCTATATTATCTATCCATTAATTGCCATCCTGATGTTACTTGTCAAGTTGCTTTATTTTCTCTCTCCATATTTTCCGTTTGCCACACGCCAGACTAAAAAATAATACGGTAGCATTTTATCATAGAGTTTATGATAAAATCATAAAATCATGTTTAAATAGATGTTTACCATAACAACATTTTCACATTAAACTGCTGAATGGCCAACTGAATATCTTTATTTCTTTACTTCACCCCCCAAAGGCTAGCACAAGCATATATTTAGCCCAAAATATTCTCATATTGTCTAACTGATTACATCACCCTTGCATTTGGAATGTGGAAAAGTTAGCACAGGATTTTCTTGAAGCAACTTGACGTCAGCACAGCATCTAGAAGGTGGGGATGGGGGGGCATGTCTAGTGCTAATACTGGACCTACACCGTTCATTCCTTCATTGATTCAGCAGCCCCAATAGAGCTCAAAATGTTGTTCCACCAGGGCTCCAGAGGCATAGCATCACCTAAACAATGTATGTCATACTCATCATTTTCCTGAAAGACACCCCCCCCATGTGATTGTACAAAGAACAACAACTGTCAATAAAACAACTAAATAACCCTAATGGAAGTCACTGATTCTAAATGACAATTTTTTAAAAAAACCTAAGTAAAACTTAACATTCCTTAAAACACAGTCTAAAAGGCAAACTGGTCCTGCTGCAATGGTTATTTTAGTGGGTAACAGGGCCATCTGTGAAGGGAAGTAAAAAAAAAAAATCAAGGTGGCAACTGCAACCACGTGATTGAAGTCCCACTCCTTTTGTATGTGTCCAAAACTATAAAGATGGTTGTGACTGCCATCTCAACTTCTTTTGGCTGCTAAGAGGTTGCTGTTAAGTAAGGCATGTCTTCAATTGTCCTTTAAAACAAGGCAATGTGAGAGCAAGCCATACTTCCCGTAAGACACAGTTCCATACGTGGGCTGCTGCTCCATTCCCAGCCACCATACTGTGAGTTGAACCCACCAGTGGAACCATAAGCAGGACTTTCCCAGTGAACTGTACCACATTGAGTGGGTGATGATAGGGCATGTGAACTTTTAAGCCCCAGGTGTCAAACAGCAAAGGCAATAGCGATGCTAAATAAATCTTGTTTGTGTTGATGATACCTATTTTCCCCAAGGTAGAGAACTGGATCTGGTGACTTCAGCTAAGGGAGATTTGAATTGAGGAAATGGCAACTCCTTTCCTTATCAGAGGTCCGCTTGTGGGAAATTACACTGCAAGTTAAACCTGCTTCAATGAGTAGTTTTCAGATTCACTGTTGGCTGAGATTTCTGCCAAGGGACAGAGGAAAACATAATCTAAACCTGTCCTTTTTCTGGCCTTACTGTGGCTTTTTCATTGACATCGATTGATTTAAAAATCTATGCATCCTAAGAGATGGCTTCAATTCAGAATCACTTCTCTTATGATAAATTCTATTTATGATTCAGAAAAAATCCCAGGTTAATCAAATCAGTTACATGTTGAGACATTTTGTTTGAATGTCTCCTAGGAGTCTTTTGATAGAGTATCTGCTTATAAATGGTGATGTTTTAAATGTAACATTCCTTTTCAAAAGTTGTACTGTATATTTGAAGGAAAACATTATTCTTGTTTTGTTTGTATATTTTATAGGACAGATTCTCCATGTATTAGATCGATGGAACTTAAGTGGGCAAACTCTTGTATACTTCACATCAGATCAAGGAGCACATCTTGAAGAAATATCAGACAATGGAGAAGTTCAGGGTGGTTTTAATGGAATATTTAAGGGTAGGATCCAGCTTTTTACTATTGTTTCACAAATTCTGTACAATTGTCCTTATAGTTGGAGTAACCTACATTTTTAAAAAGTGAATATAGATTTAGGAGACAGCTATAAATACAGTTCTTTTGTTGGAACATTGTAGTCATAGCAGCAGGGCCAGGCCTGTCATTAGACAGATAATGGGGAACAGCAAGAAGTAGTGATGTGATGAAACATGCCATTACCTCTGATATGCAACCAATGGTGTCTGTAGGTGGAGGGGGGAGTAAAAATAACAATGCAACAAATTTGATGTTGTATTCAAGCACTTTTGTACATGAGTTCATGTCACACATATGCACAAAAGAGGTAGAGTTTGCATCATAACACCACATTCACCATTTTTTTCTTTTTTATTTTGACTCCCCTTCCCTCCCCATTTTTTTTTTTTCCTGTGCCTTCAAGTCACTTTTTGACTCCTGGCAACTGCCTGGATTAGTCCCTGCAGATTTCTTGGCAAGGTTTCTGGAAGTGTTTGCCACTGCCTGCTTCCTAGGGCTGAGAGAGAGGGACTGGCCCAAGGTCACCCAGCTGGCTTCATGTCTAAGGTGGGACTAGAACTCAGTCTCCTGGTTTCTAGCCTGATGTCTCAACCAATACACCAAACTGGCTCTCTTCATTTCATCCAGCACTTCTAAAACTTAAATTCACGTATTATGTTATGTCTGCATAACAACACTCATTATATTTGCTTACTTTAATACCCAGTAAGCACATATCTTGTTATTTATCTATTTATCTACAATGGATCATGTTTGAAACCATAAGTAGCAATGCATATTCTATGTCATATAGAACTCTATCCAGTGATAAGACCACTTCCCTACTGATGTAATCCCCATGTAGATAGAGTATTAAAAAATGAAAACAAGTTAAGTGCATAAATGTCTAGCAATAGAAATATACCTTGGTGACTCAAGTTGCAATCACATAAAGCTGGGTAAGGTTAAATAAACAGAACAAAAGTGAAGGACAGTGGAATTCTCAGTCCTAAATAGTATCCAGAACCTAATGTTAACAAGACACAGTAACTAAATGAAGTTACTATAACAAGAAACCTTCATTTCAAATAGAAGATATAAAGCTACCTCATTTTATCTTAAAAGGTTTACGAATCCATTAAAAGGCTCACAGGAGATGACCTAATCGAAACATTCAGAAAGGCTTCCACATCAAGTTACAGTTGCCATCTGCAAAGTTAAAACCATACCCCTAGATAGTTTTTCACTTTCCTGTTCTACCATGTTACCTTCAGTCCCAGCATCTCTAGCCAGAGATTGGAAAAACTAATCTGAAACCAAGAAAAACTCTTCCCATTCAGCATGGACCAGCTTCACCCAATTTAGCATCCTCCAGATGTGATGTGATTACAATTAAAAGAGCCAACTAGCATGAAT